TTAGTAATGTTTTTTAACTTTTGACTCTAGAGCGCCCCCTACAATATTCCAACAGTTATATCTCAATGATATATCATCCGATCAGCACCAGATTTTTGGAGCAACATTAGTAAGCACTTATGTACACATTAGTATTGTTTCTTAAATTTTGACTCAAGTGCGCCCCTAGATTATTTAATCAGTTATATCTCTATGATGTTTCATCCGATCTGCACCAGATTTTTGCGGCATGTGTTACCATGTCTACACACATTGTTATTGTTGTTTAATATTTGACTCAAGTACGCCCCCTAGATTATTCAAACTGTTATATCTCAGTGATATATCATCCGATCTGTACCAGATTTTTGGTGCTTGATTAGTGAGCACTTATTGACACAGGGGTGTTGTTGTTTAATATTTGACTCAAGTGTGCCCCCTACATTATTCAAACAGTAATATCTCAGTGAAAATTTGTTTGATCTGGACCAGATTTTTGGTGTGTGATTAGTGAGCACTTAAACACACAATGGTATTGTTGTTTTACTTTTGACTCAAGTGCGCCCCCTAGATAATTCAAACTGTTATCTCAGTTATATATCATCTGATCTGCACCAGATTTTTGGTGCTTGATTAGTGAGCACTTATGGACAGTGTTGTTGTTGTTGTTTAATATTTGACTCAAGTGCGCCCCCTACATTATTCAAACAGTTATATCTCAGTGAAAATTTGTTTGATCTGGACCAGATTTTTGGTGGGTGATTAGTGAGCACTTAAACACACAATGGTATTGTTGTTTTACTTTTGACTCAAGTGCGCCCCCTACATTATTACAATAGATATATCCGCGGTCGTAGCTGATGTCAAAGGTTTGGCGAATGCACACTCCGGTGAACGGGCGCGGGACGGTAGCGTGAGCATTCTGGATGGCGACCGGGAAGAGTTACTGGAGTTCCCACGGTCACCGTAAGGCCACAGCGGCGCTTTGCTGCAAGGGCCTTCAATGCTGCTTGCAGCTTTAATTCTGTTTGAAACTGTTGCATGAACGGAGGGAGGTTCTGCTGTCAGACTCGGTTTTGTTTCTTGGACTGAACGAGTTGTGTTTTAAATGGATGGAAAGCTGTTTTAAAGCTGGGCACTGACTCAGACCGCTGTGTTATGCTGTCTGTTGCATTTTTAACAGTAAATAGTGCATTTTTGAAGTTTTAATGGGCGAAACCGCTGTTTGGGTTGCTCTGATTTGCTGAGAAGCTGGTGACGTATCTCTGTGCGTCCACTCCCTCTGATGTCAGTGCGTAAAGCCCTCCTCCGATGTACACATGTCTGAAAGAGTCACGTGACCCCGGAAATGAAGCTCGTTTTAACCGAGTCCTCCTTTGTGTTTAAAAACGCTAAATAAAGCCTGCCACTGTTCCTAAAACTCATGTTTTCATGCAAATAAATGATAAATGATCCTCCTCTTCACTACACCTCCATGTACCCTCTGCTCGCCTGTCCACCATGGGGAGCAGGGCCTTCACCTGCTCTGCCCCTCATCTCTGGAACTCTCTACCCCCTGACTTAAGAAACACCACCTCTCTTTCTATATTAAAGACTGCTCTGAAAACACATCTCTTTAGACTCGCTTATCCTTAACTTTGCTGTATGTATTTTATATTCTTTACGCATTTTATATTCTTTATGTATTTTATATTCTTTATTCCTGTTGATCTTTGTTCTTACTGTAAAGTGTCATTGGGTGTCATGAAAGGCGCTTTTTAAATAAAATGATTATTATTATATTATTATAAAGCGTGCGTCGAGATAGGCCACGGTAAAAGCTTTAAACCCGTCCGTAAAAACGTTACAGAACCATGTTCGACCGTGTGCTAAAGCGTAGCTAACAGCTAACAGCCGGATGTCAACAGGACGGTTCATAGGAAGTTGTCATAGACTTCTACCAGTAAAAGTAAGCTTACACCGCCACCTGCTTTCGAAAAAGGAGTATAACGGTTTTCCTGAAAGAAAGCTGATCCCTCTGCCTTTCATTTAAATTTTTTTTTTTGTTAATCCAGCCTGGTTTCTGTGTACTGTTTAAATAGTGAATTCTGGTCAAATTTAAACTGCTTACAAAAGCATTTGAAAACTAAAGTTGATGTCAGATTTTTAGAAAAATTGCAGGTTTATTAATTTTAAGTGCACTCGAGTTAAATTAACACTGAAAAGGCCTGGTTCATTGTATCTGTTACAAAAATAAGTTCATAATTAAGTAACACTGCCAGAAGGAGGCATTTACTTGCAATATTTATGGGGTAAGACCTTAACAGGGACCCATGTATTGAAAAG